GTCATTCTCAGACTCTTGATGAGCTGGCGTTTAAGGGATTTGCCAGCTGTGTCATATGTGGCATCAGGAGGTAAGGTTCTGCGGGAGTCCAGCAGGGCGGCCGAGGTCGATGAGACCCATCGTTTGTATTTTGAACCAACGCCAGGGTCCGACGTTGTTTTTAATGGTATTTTCATTGCTTCCTTAACTTGCTTCCAGTGTTCATTGAGTCCTTCGACTGGTGGCTGAACTGACAGGCGATTGGAGAGCTCCGCTTCGAAGGCCGATTTGCAGCCATCGCGGACGATGTATCGTGGGTATCCGTTGTCGGTGGCTTTTCTGCTGTTGTTTGCCAGGTGTGGGGAGAATTTGGCTCGTAACAAGGCGTGATCTGTATTTACAGTTGTTGACCAGTAAGAGCGACAGTCTTGAATTGATCCCCTACAGCGGTAACTGACGGCGATGTGGTCGATCTGGGTCCAGCGTTGTGAAGAGGTTGGCGGTTTATATGAAAGACGTTGACGTTTCTTGTGTGAGAAGTTCGTGTTTGACAATAACAATCCGTGGTGCGCGCAGAGTTGAAGTAGGCGATCTCCGTTGTCCGTTCGTGAGAACCAGGCTGATTTCAGACCTGGTCGAGGTTGTATCGACCACATCTTCACTTGTCGTGAAGTTCTATAACACAAACTCCCTTTGTAGACCCACCATTTCTATCTTCCTCGATCGAAAAGCGGATTTCGATTCAGTCGACCGCTCCAAACTCTGGCGCTGCCTTCCTTCGAAGGGTGTGCCCATCCAAGCCGGTGATCACTGCAAACCACAAGGAAGGTGTCGGAGTTGTTTAAACACTTCATGGCTGATTTTGAAGTAGGTTTTTTCAACTCCTTCAGGTGAACCGCCGGTGGTTCCCTGACCCGGACTCGACCCAGGCTATTGGCTTTGTTCTTTCATTTTGATAGGAAATGCTTCCGCAATGTGATCGTATTGAGTAGGGCTTTCTCAACAGATTATTTGAAACGCTTGATGATACCCAACAGAATGGTGACTGTAACACTCCATCCCCGAACAGATTGAGGCTTCAAGAGTCCCTTGTAAACCTACTATCGCCAACCCACCGCGATAAAAAGTAGTTATTCTCTAGTTTTGAGGATCGGTGTAGCACTTTTGGACATCGTTGGTCGATAATTGAAGCGAAACGTTTGAGTTACAACAGGATTCTCCTACTATGCACTGTGTAATGGCGTGCAACAGGCTTTTGTGACGCACCCATTAGCGAATTGTATGGACCTGAAACAATAATCTTTTGTGTGTCCGTGACGAAATCTCACTGATGCTGCAATTCGAAAAGGCTAAAAGCACACGCGGCGGAGACGCATTAACAATTCATCTTGTGTCACTGCAATGTTTTTTTCGTTTTCGAAAAAAACTGGGATCCAGCTCGGTACAACTTTTACGAAACTTGATCATGAAAACTTGACATTGGTTTGCCGACATTAATTTTCGGTCTCAACTGATAGACAGAATAGGAAACCAGAATCACTCTAAGCAGCCGGATTTAAGATACGAAAAAAGCGTCCCTTAACAACAGTCCGTGATTTATCCACAGCAATAAATTAATTTCGTACCTGTAAACGAATTAATTTCTTCTTTGTTGGAGTATTTGGCAGCTGAATAAACACATCAGCCTGTAATAAAGTGTCAAATTAAAAAATATCTAATCAATGAGAATGTATTCGTGCCGTACAGAAAGCTTGATGTTTCCTATAGATCCTATCGAACACGTTGAGGGAAAAATCATGAACCATTTCTTGGCTAAGCCATTCAGAAACTCACTGAGTCTTACCAGTTCCCATGTGTACCCCACGCTAAATACGAGATATACTTATAACCAAGTATCCCTTTGTTATCAGCGTTATTGTCTTTCCTATCTTTTGACCAATCGTATTCGACTGCCACCTGTGCGAAGTGAAGACCCTTGCACCGGAATTTTTCTTGCACTTAACTGTCCGAATGATTTGTTTTTGTAATAATATACATCCTCAAATTCAACTCCAAAATGGCTAGAGTTCATCATTGGTTTGCATAAACCGTATCATGATCTGAATTGGGAAATTAGTTTGATGCTCGGGTGGTTTTCATCAACATGACCGCCACAGCGGACCGTGGCAACGAAAGCACCACATAACTCCCTTCTATCTATACCACTACCACCATCCGCATCTGTTGACTTTTCCCAGAGGTCCTTCATATTCAGTCTGTATGGCCATTAATCATGCACCTTAGTACCCTTAATGGACCGGAGACCTCCAGTTGGAAGTCGAATTCACGCTAGCTGATTAACAAACGAATGGAAGTAAGATGAATAATGCTAAGCAACATTATTTTTCATCGTCTCAAAACTGATATAAAACGATCAAAATCTCGCTCATAGTAGGTTATCGTTACAGGTCTATCTTACGCGCATCAGTGGCTCTCTTCGAAGATTTTTTCTCGGTGTTGAACTTAAACTTCCAGGAATAAACCTGAAGCGATATGAAAAACATCCCACTTGTTGTCCATTAAGGTACATGAAATTTTTTTTTGACGGGCGTTTGATTTTAGAGGTAGATGCGCTCTATATCACGACCTGCGAAAACAATCCGACCTCTAATCTCTCGTGTTTCTCTAGCTCGGTAGGTATCAGGAAGAACGACCGTATAGCCAAGGAAGAGTGAATTGTTTCCTGAAGGTACCGGAAGTTTAGCCCGATTACGCTCGAGAGTATCTGAAAGCAAAGACCATAGCGAGCGAAAGTGTAGAACTGAACTCAAGCACTGATTAAAGTGAAGTTACTTCACCGGGTGTGGCAGTGACTTAAACAAAGATGAAAGACCTAGCTGAAGAAGCGGTTTCAGGATATCGAAGATCCTGGCGGAATCTGCGCTACAAAGAGGATGCACGGGCAAATGCTCCAAGTGACCAATGCCTGCAACCATGCGAAAGCATATATGCGGAACAGGCAGACCCAAAATGGTGACAACTCTCGAGCATGTTACAATGTCGGTCTGAAGCTACTACATGATAATTACAATTCAAGGAGACTTGGTTAACGTTTGATGATCTGAAAAACCATCCACCGCTATCAACTTCAACAAGACTCCTCCCATTTTTGAAGTTTTTCACAGGATTGACTACAATCGGAATTTTATTCAGCTCTACTCAATTCAAAGTGTATTCAAGTTGGTATTTCCAGAAACAGAACAACAGGGTGGCGAACAAGCTCGTCTTCAGAAATTCATATTCATGCCAGTGCATCTCAATATATATCACTAATTGCGAATAAAATGTGACTTTATTGTTGTTTTATTTTCCCAAGACAATTTTATTCGCAAGTAGTGATATATATTGAGACGCACTGGCATGAATACGAATCTCTGAAAACGAGCTTGTTCGCCACTCTGTTGTTCTGTTTGAAATGTACTCTGTGGGACTATTTCGACAACTCACAGAAACCTTACCAAAAGTTAACCTCGAGCCCACCGGGCTTATTTCTCCCAATTCAACGTTACGCCATATGTGACATGCTTAGCTTGTGTCAGATACCGCGTGAGGTATCAGATGCGTACAACAGCACCCAAGATTAACCCTACCTTGTAAATCATAGCTCTCCAAGGCATTTCATCTTTCTACAATGTTCCCCATATATATTTATCTTTTGTCTATGACCTTGTAGCCTTTACTCACAGATTTGAGCCCAGTTACTATATTGACTTCCATTGCTCTGAACTCGGCGTTTTCCCACCTGATCTTTCCCATTCATTCCGTTCTGTCTGGTAGTCAAAGTTATCAAGGTTCTGTCCCCAGATGCCGTACTTCCGTCTTCCAGTCGTGTTTATTCCCTGGGATTGCCAAATAATGTGTGAGCAACATCCGGTCACGGAACTGGAATACTGATTATCTCTTGCCATGATTTCTTCCCCTTTTGATATAAATTATGATGTATTAGCCTGTAGAAACACCGCAAACGAGCTTGTTCACTACTTTGTAATGATGGTTTATTGAGAAAACTGGAATCCCCTTCCCATCTCCGTATTTCCAACCATATACAATCTTTCGCTTTTTCAAAAGCAAAATTAACAAAATGGTTTTCACCTGAATGTTTTCCCCATCACCTCCCCTCTTTTTGCAGCAAGTCACTTTTTATAATAAATAAAAATACTTCGCCAATCCCAGCCTGACTTAACATTAACAAAATAATTATAAATGCGTAAGACGAATGTGAATTAGGTGTTTTTGAGGAAGGAAAAACATTGTGAACCTCAATGGTCAAAAGACGGAATGCACTAGTAAACTATACATGCACAGTTCTTTGAGATTATTTTACTTCTCTTAACCGATGCAACAACAATTTTCAAACTTATTCGAACCACTGAAGCGTTGCATTGCTAAACACCACATTTGATCAGCATATCATGCGCCATTTGTTGAAAGAAGACTCACTTAGTAACGAGCTTTCAAATTCAATTATTGTCAAGATTATGCATATTTGTGTGCAGATAAAATGCAGGAATGAGCATAACGGAATGATTCGGGACCGCCGCGAATAAACGGCTTACAAGTAAATGACAAAAATTCAATAAATAACACATGAAAACTGTACAACCTGAAAACTGAATGGAAGAAACGCAATATTTGCTTTCTGAACCGTCAAATGAGAGGAGGGGGTCAAAGAGAAACAACAACATTGTCATCAGTAGCAAATGCAAAATGGCTTTTCAAGTCTGTACTGCATGGGGTCATGATACAGTTGGAAAACGGTTAATATTGCTGAAGAACTGAATCAGGACAATAAATGCATATAAAGCATATTTCAAGAAATGCAATTGCGTCAGTACGGCAACAGCCAATAGGGAATGTAATGATAATTTATCACTCAATGGAGTTTATCACGAGGACATGGCGGCAGAATTCAGTTTTGAGTGAAACTGCCCGGCAAGTCTAAACATGGGAAATAAGACCAAAATGATTATTGTATTGAAGAATCATGAAGAAGGAATGGATGCTTGAAGGTCATCTCCGTTAATCAAGACTACAGAAGTCATACTCACCACATTCGTCCCTTTTGAGCTGGAATTAGGATGAGATTCGTCTTTGTTAAACACAGGTGTTTCGGCAGAGAGCACCAAACACGGTTGACTTTCGGTGAAAACCGCTTGAACTTCGGTTTCTGGGACTCCACCTGCACTTTCTTCGTCATCACCACAGGACACTGGTGTATGCCGAAGCTCTGGGGCATCGGACGAATCATCTGGTGTACCGATCCGCATATTCGACTGACCAGAAGAATGAAACTCTGATACCATTTTCTCCGGACATTCCTCTGCATCTGAAGACTCGCAATCACTCCCTTGATCATTGCTTGTATCCTCACTGGGGCTCAATCCTGCAGTTTCATCTAACTCTACCAAACCTCCATTAACACCTTCCTGGCCACCACCTTGGAGGGTTTGTGTCAGTAGCGGTAACACTGTTGATGGATCAATACCAAGAGCTGCGTTGTCCTCACATGTACCGTCACCCGATTCCACCTTCAGGAATGCACCGCGCCCCGCTAAATAATGTTGCAATGAGCGAACATGTCGCTTTTTATCTTCCAAACGAATGAACTTTTCTTCGCAGATTTCACATGTGTATGGTTTTACGCCAGTATGAAGACGCTCATGACGTTCACGACAAAACTTGCGGTTGAATGTTTTTCCACAATAGCGACATCGATATACTTTCGTGACACGGTATGTTGGCGGATTCTCGTGATCATTTGGATCCTTTGCTATGGGTACTAAAGGAGCGCGTTCTCCGGTTGTTGCTGAAACTTTGCCACCGTCAGCACTTTTTGATGACTGCTCTGACTGAGAAACAACACTATTAGTCTTCACGACTGGGACGGAAGACGAGACTAACTTCAATGAATAAGACTGTTTCGACTCTCCACTAGGATTCAACTCACCACTTGTATCGTCGAAAGTGGATTTCGAACTCGAGGTGGTATTTTCTACAGGTTCGGTTTTCTTCGACGTTATAGATGCGAACTTTTGCTTTGATTCGTTTTCCCGATTCTCATTGTTCATACAACCCTTTATGGTTTGTAAAATCCGATCAATTGCTGATGTGGTTGGATCCGTTATGGGTTTATGATCTGTTGAACTGCTCTTGCAACGAATCGGAGGTAGAACGCTAGGAGATACGGCTAATGTAGTAGACACCGTGGAAGTCGTACATACGGTCGTTGGGTTTTTTGGAGCACCTGGATTGCTCAGTTGCGTATGCAATAGTACGGGGGGTGCCAGAGTGACACTAGTTGTCTGTGGACTCAAAATGTTTTGAAATGAAATGGCAGTCGGAATAGCGGCCACTGACGGCAAGGACCCGGCGCTAAGAGACTGAGCAGAAGCGGGAGCTAGAAGAACGTTCATCTCACCTTGACCACGCGGATAAGACAACATGATGGACCCACGGGTTATTGCATTACTTACACCATTTAAAAGTTGGCTATTTTGGCCGATACGATTTAAGTTGGTAGCAGAACATACAGGTGTTTCATACATAGAAAATGTCGCCGTGGATGGCGTGACAGACGTTGCGTTTATCATTTTTGAGGAAAGTATATTGCTCAGAGACGTTAAGCTTCCATCGGAGGCAATCATGCTGGGGCGTCCTGTGGTTAACCCACCTGAGGACATTTGACCACCTGGTATAAGTGTTACGGAGCCCGGAATACCGCCGACATTAGTTTCCAAGCAGGTTGACTCCGACACTTCGGCTGTTGCATTCTTCGCACCAGCAAGTCCACGGAGAAGTGCAGCAGCCACCAACGCTGCGTTGTTATTATTATTTGTGTTGAGCCCCAAGTTGGTTGTCAACAACGTAGCATTTGTAGTTCCAGCGGATACAGATGGCATAGCTTCATTGTTCGACATGGAAGACGAACTTGCCGGCGTTGGATTGAGCCCCAATGTACCGATTAAGGCCAAAGTTGGCCCAACAGAAATGGAAGAAACCTTTCCGGGCGCGGAACTCAACTGATGAACAGCGTTCTGACCAGCGAGTGATTGAAGCAAAGCGACAGAATTGTTAGCTGCTTGCGTCTGGCTGTTAGTTGAAATTGAAGATTGCTGGGGTAGTGGATTATGATGGGCAACTTCCGTGTTTGCGGATGCACAACGCAGCCAATTTAGTGTAGTCGCCAAGCTAGACCCACCGTTCGCACCAGAACTTATGGGGACAGACACACTAACTGTGTTCACCGCACTTCCTACGTTTGATGAGTGTGAAGCTAGAGCCGTACCTAGAACTGACGGCAGCAACCCATGTTGTTGGCCAGTTGATCCAATAGGAATAGTTCCAATGATCTCGCCGGAGGGTCCAGTGAGAGCTATCGACGGTCCATTGAAAGATGTAATCCCGCTTACGTTTTGGTGGTCGGAGTAAGTTACCGTACTAACTGGTGCCTGTGATGTTGCAGAAAGAGCTGCCGCTACTGCAGCCGCGATGTTTGGATTTAGTAGAACATTTGGTGTTGAAGCCGTATGACTTGTTACCGGAATTACTCCTTGATTAGTGTGTATATGAGGTGTCGTCTCCGGGATAGGAATAATCAATGGGTTTGTCGCCCCGTTATTTTGCGGAGCTACTTTAACCGTTAGTGAGTTGTTGTCATGGCACGAAAGAATAGTCCTGTTTAGTATATTGTTGAGGGGCAAAAGTCCACAGAATTCCCCCAACTCACCCAATCCGAGAGTTTTGGTGGCTATGGTGTACTTTGCAGTAGCCGTAGTCTGGGGTTGAACATCAGGTCCACGGAAACATATTTCGCTGGTTTTAGTGGAAGGAACCTGAGAAACCGAAACCACTGGTTCCGAATTCGGAATGTGAGCTTGGTCAGCAAACTGGTGGTTATGTTCCGATGCTGCTGGAGAACTTTCTTGGATTATTCTGGTAGTGATGAATTTGTTTTGTGAGAGAACACTCATAGTTTGAGAGCTGATTGCGGCATTAGAAGAGCAAGACAGGCGCGGAACTTTCCCTGACCTAAACATTTCGGGATCAGATGAAGAAACAACTTCATCTTGCTCAGTTGCACCATCCTCAACTTCACTATCTGCATTCCGATTTTCCGAATCAATTATTTGTCTCTTAGGTCTTCTTGATTTACGTCTGTCTCGACGGTGTATAGGTCCGTCGACTAAATCTTTGGGCGACTCAGCAATCTCCATCGAACAAACTGAGTCGAGTACAGCGGTAGTGGAACAAACGTTGGCCCCGCGAGAAACGCGTGTGTTTTGAATTACGAGAGGAGGAAGCAAAGGTGGAGAGGCGTTAGCAGGTGATGAGGATTCTTTAAAATCAGTTGGGTCGCGTAACGCCTCCAGAACTTGAGCCGGGTTTCGCATGCAGCTATCACGATTGCCGACCTGACAATACTCCATTGATTCCGAATCAAGGTGAGAATCACGTGTCCCCGAACCTTTGACAGTGGAAAAATCTAGCTTTATAAACTTCTCTGTGTTGTTGTCTGTAGTATATGAAAGTATCCCGACAACCTCCAGACGTTGACAATGCCGAAAGTGCTGTCGGAAAACTTCCTTCAACTGATCCAGTAAATGTGAATCCTCCAAGCTCTTCATCCTTAAATATTTTTCATTCATGCGCAGAGTTCTTGCCTATCATCTAAGACAGTATATGCGAATGAAAACACGAAACTTACCACTTGCAAAGTCAACCACGAATAACCTCCGTAATCAATTTAGCGCAAAATTCAAGGTCAGTTCCGTTCAGTCCAGTCCAGTCCAGTCTTCACAGGACGAATAATGGCTCTTGCCAATCGAGCGTCCGGATTATTGTGTTGTCGGCGAGTGTTCTTGGCTCCCAACACTGCGTTTTCTGAGTTTCTTTTAGCCAGGTTCTCTCAAGCGGGCTGTAAAAGAGAAAACAGAAGAGATGTCTTCTCGCCTCGTCGGTGAGAGACCTTAGTTTTCTTAAACATCAGTTTCAAGTGCAATTTAAAGCCCCAATGCCATAGTTCAGGACTGCAATTTACCCTGCTTTCGGTGACGATGCATTACCACCTAACCTCAGGGAGTGTTTTCGGCCAAAACGCATCCAGTGCCGCCTTAAAGTTATGCACATTGGTGCAGTTGACCACTACCCCTGGTAACCTGTTCCACATTGGTATAACCATGTGAGCGAAGAAATTGGCCCGGATCTCCAACCTTGCATCGTTCTGTTGGAGCTTAAAGCTATGACCCCTCGTGTTTTGAGCACGAGAAGCCGTAAACAAGTGATCTGCGCGGAGTCCTGATAGCCCTCTGACTATCTTAAAGGTATCTATCAGGTCTCCTCGCAGTCGTCTACGTTCCAGCGAAAAGAGATTTAAGTCCCTCAAC